GCAAAAATTGCCCGAAAAGACGAAAAGCCGAAAAGTCGAACGAAAAGTGGAAAAGCCGAAAAATCCGCAGAGTTCCGAAAAGTACCCAAAAACACGAAAAGCAACGAAAAAACCGAAAAGTCGAACGATCCCGAAAAGTGCCAAAAACGCCGAAAAGTCGAAAAGTAACGAAAAAAACACCAAAAAGTCGAAAGGTAATAAAAACATCAAAAAGTTCCGAAAAGTGTCAAAAATTCCGAAAAGTCGAAAAGTAACTGAACAACCCGAAAAGTCGAAAAATCACGGAAAGTTCCGAAAAGTGCCCAAAAACACCGAAAAGTCGAAAACCCGCGAGAAAAAAACACGGCCGGTGGCGAGCTTAGCCCCTAGAGCTATTACGGTTTAGGGTCTTATCTACTATGTTTCCTCCAGGTTATACTATACCCTAAACACCCTAAACCCTGAAACCCCTAAACCCCAATAATGAAAACCTTTTCCAAGGAGGACCGCAGATGCCAGCACAAAGACCATAGCCCATGGTCCCCAAGCGCTCCGAGGATAGGGTCCCTAGGGTTTAGGGGTTAGGGGTTTAGGGTTTTAGGGTTCTAGGTGTTTAGGGGTTTAAGGTTTAGGGTTTAGGATTTAGGGTTTTAGGGGTTTAGGGTTTAGGGTTTGGGATTTAGGGTTTTAGGGGTTTAGGGGTTTAGGGGCACTAGGATTATAGGGACTATATTCTACCCCAATAATGGAGAATCAAATGGAAAAGAAAATGAAAAATGAAATGGAAACTGGTATTATTATGGGTTATATTCGGGTTATGTAGGGGTAATATAGGGATAATGGAAAATAAAATGGAAACTACTATACTGGATTATGTAGGGTTTTATAGGGTTTTAGTGGTTGAGGGGTTGAGGGGTTTAGGGGGTTAGGGTATAGGGGTTTAGGGTTTTAGGGTTTTAGGGTTTAGGGTTCAGGGTTTGGGGTTTAGGCTTAGGGGTTGAGGGTTTTAGGGTTTGCAAACATTGGTGGTATCTGTGGTATACTATCAGGGCCTACAGGATATTCCCTTAACCCTAGGCCCTACCTGGTTTTATATATTGCGCAACACTGGAGGTATCTATGGCAGGTAGTGATTATACATGTCTACAAGATGTTTCCTGGTGATACGGTTCCTGGTTAGCGGGTTTGGGGTTAGGGAGGTTACATGTAGTTATCTGTGGTAAGTAGTGATTATGTGTTGTTAGTAGGAAACAGGGAATATAATCCCTGTATAGTCCCTATTATAATCCCAAATTTCCTGCTAGCCCGCAGTAAGTTATTAGGGTCTACAGGATATTACCTTGTTGTACGGTTCCTATAGGGTCAGGATTCTTGAGATGCTGAGGAATTCGGGAGACAGGATTTTTGAAGGGAAAGCTGCAGTAGCAGGTTCACTTGGGGAGTTTACAGGGCTTGTGTAGGCTGCAGAGAATGGTGCAGGGCTTGGGGTTTGGGGCTTGCGAGCTTTATAGTACTTGGGCTTTTGCTACGGTACGGATCTCTTGTGCAATTCCTGAACCCCACCTGTACCTGTACGAACAGACTACATTTCACATATGGCTGGTCTAGGCTCCTAGTCCAAAAATCAGAAACTGCTTCGAATTCCTTGTGAACTTCATTTACATTAAATCGTGACAGGAGAGCAACGTTTATGAACAACTGACTGAGGCTCTTTGTCCCTTTGTGAGGCAGGCGGATAGGCTTGCCCACAGCGTCACATCGCCGACATCCACACACAGGACATCATTGGCCTCCATGCGACGAGACATCTCCTGCAAGCATGTTCCAGGAACCTCCTAGACCCTAAAGAACCTGAGCTATCACCAGCTTCCATTTCATGTTTCATTTTCTTGTCCAATTGTTTCTTCATTGTTAGGGTAATTTATCCCTGTATTGAAGAGCCCTGAATCCCACCTTCATGACACAGTCGGGATGCGACAGTTCCTGCGAGCCTTGGCTGATGCATTCAAACCGCGATGTCCTCCGGGCAGAGCTCCTCCACTTGCCTTAATTTGTCGTACGCTTTGGACGAAAACAGAAAGGTCCTCTTTGGGTACTTGCTCAGTTATACGCAGGGGGCCCCATATCCCCGCCAAAGAATTAAAAAATTCTGACCTTGACCCGGTTGCCTCTATGGATGTCAGCCCACAGCCTCTTAGCATCTTCTGCAAGCTCGATCTTGGCTTTTTTGGCCGGGGGTGCTAAGTAGAGGTTGGCAGCATCCATTGGCGTCACGATGTCCAGGCCACTGTAGGCTAACTCACTCTGCCAACCCTCCATCAAGCTCGGAGCATTGACAATTGGGTCCGCTTCCTGTGGTCCAAGTTCTGCCAGCAGCCTGCGCAAGGTGAACTTGATGTCGCCAACCACGTCATACAGCGCTCGGTATCTGGCATTTATCCGCAAGCACATGGCATCAGGCTCGAACGTAATCATGGGCCTTATCTGCAAGCCTGCCCGGTTGCACAGCAACAGGGTGTCGTCGTGATTGCCGATGGAAATTATCAGCTGGGAAGTCTCGATGACTTTGGTTGCGCGCTCAAGTCCAGACTTACCATGTACGCCAATAACTCCAAATACCAAAGCATGAGACTCGTCTACACATCCTTTGGCATCCAGTCGCCTTACTTGTGCTTGAGGGAGAATGGGGGGAGTGGATCCCTAATTATGATCCTCATATATATACATATATACATATGTACACACATGTAGATATGTATATATATATATACACCCCTACAATGGTACTTAAGTTCACTCCCCCACCCCGCCCCTTTTAAGCACCAGTAAGTCGCGTGAGAACCGGAGCGTTGATGCGCTCCGCCAGCTTCAGGATCTCATGGCCAGCTCCAACAGCACGGTGCCCTACGGCAATGACCACTCCTATGCGGAATAATGGAGTAGAAAATGGAAACTACTATAGGGTTTAGGGTTTAGGGTTTAAGGTTTAGGGTTTAGGGTTTAGGTTGTAGGGTTTAAGGTTTAGGGTTTAGGGATAATGGAAAAGAAAATCTACCATAGTATATTAGGGTAAATACTATATTCAGGTTAGTTAGGGGCTATATAGGGATAATGAGAAAGAAATGGAAACTGCCATTTAGGGCTTACGGTTAAGGAATGTCTGGGTTGCTGTTGAGGAACTTAAACTAAGCTACCATAGTGGTTTTATATATAGTACATATTAAAGTTTCCCCAATCATGGAGTTTCCTTTGTACCCTTACGGTTTGTACCCTTGGGTTTGAGCCCCTATAGCATGAAATATAGCCTGGGACCCCAAACCTAAGGTTACAAGCATTAAGGGTACAAACCTAACCCATAAACCCCATAAACCCTATAAACCCTATAAACCCATTAAGTCTATGATCCTATGGCTGATTTGCAACCCCAAAGACTCTAGAGCAAACAGGTGGGAGAGCTAGTAGAAGTAGATAGAATATGAGGAATATGGCGGGGTCTTCTTGTAATATACCCAAACTGGGTTGGCCCCTAAAACCCTTTGACAAATATTAGTATATAGGGTCCCTTATTAAACCCAGTAGGGAAAATATTAAATATCCCAGGGGCCTACCCAGCAAAGCAATATGTTATCTACTGAAGCGGGACCATACCCTAAACCCTAAACCCTATACCCTAAACCCTAAACCCTTAAACCCTATACCCTAAACCCTATACCCTAAACCCTATACCCTAAACACACTGAATGGGCTACCGAAAGCAACTTCAATCAGGCCCTGGCTCTACCACTCCCACGGCCGGAGGCCGCCCGGAGCTCTGAAGCCACATTCCTGCAGCATCTTGCAATAGTAGCAATAATAATAGTGAAAGTAATAAGAAAACAGTAGTTTTATAGTAGTTATAGCAATTATTGTAGGAATAATAATAGTGAAAGTAGTAAGAAAATAGTAGTTTATAGTAGTTATAGCAATTATTGTAATTCAGGTCCATAACATACTCGCGAGCCCAGTTTGCGTTGCAAACTGGGGTCTGGATTGTCCTTAAAATTATGGATCAGTTCAGTTTTAACACTAGCCGTGAGTCTTGATCACGAAGGAATGGGTTTCTGGTAGCTCGACTTCCGCGCGCACATCCGCCGCGCAGAACGGCTTCAGAGGGACTGGGCTCTGAGCAGCCTGGACGTCCACAGGCAAGCCTGGATCATATTTTAGGGAGCAGTCTCCCCAACCTGTCTGATAATCAATGCCACCCTAACAATTACAGTGCTAGGTAGAATTACTGTAGATGTTCATTCTTAGGGCCTTAGGGAGGGGATCATTTCTCATATGTCTTTCTTACGTGGACTAGATAACAAACGCACTTCCCAAAAAAGACCCAGAAGCCCAAGTGAACGACTGTACGGAGGGACAAGGCCTTTGCAACAGCATCCCGAAGCAGCGGTACCAAAGCATCCGGGCTTGAGACGTCGAGACTCAGAGGAAGCCCACCAGCCGCAAACATACCTGGACTATACTTAGGGGGGCCAAGGGCTATATTTGGGGATGATATAGCATGATATAGCATCAGGAAGAATGGAAGAGAAACATGGAAACTACTACTTCGGGCTTAGGGCTTAGGATTCTTATGGCTTCGTTACAGTCCGTAATTTAGTTGTCCAGTACCCAGGCCCCAACAAAGCTAAACTTTCCCTTCAGAAGGGGTTTAATCTGCCCACAAAAAATTACAGTTTGGCTACTGGACTATCGAGGTAGTAATCAGAAACTCTTCCTGGGAAGGGTCCAGATGCGACTCTGCTGGAGGTCTTGGAATTCACTGTAGCCTATGCCACCTCTAGGCTTCAGACCCGTGATTGCGATCATGGAACACCTGGGTTGCTGATAGGGTTTAGGGTTTAGGGATATTATCCCCCTATAATGGGGAGTCAAATGGAAAAGAAAGGGGAAAATGGAATGGGGACTGGGGGAATATAGGGGTTTTTGGAACTTGGGTTAAGTTACCATAATGGGTATTTCCCGAGTATATTTTGTAATCCATAGGGCTTCCCCAATACTAGATGAATTTCCTTAAATCCCTATATTCCACCAGTTTCCATTTAATTTTCCATGTTCTTTTCCACTTCATTCTGCATTATACAGGGGTAATACAACCCTAAACCCTAAACCCCATATAGTACCCCAATATAATACCTTGCGTAAATTAAGTTCCTCAACAGCAACCCAGACACTGGTCCTGCAGCGCATCCAGCAACCCGGTGGTCAAATTTGAGGCTCCGGGTCCCGAAGTGGCAACGCACACGCCCATGTTACCGGTCCTGGGCCGCTGTTAATATAGGGGTTGTGTAGGGAGAAGGGAAAGTAAAATGGAAACTACTATTTAGTTTTGAGGGCGTGTCGCGCTGGGGCCTGGGTTTTTGCATAGAGGTGATTTTGGGGGTTAAAGATAAGTGTGATGCTAAGGCATCTTCTGAGGGTTGGGCTTGGTATTGGTTATCTTGATCAACCCATGCTCTGGTCTAATTCTCATGGCTTGTGGCAAACCCTGGAGAACACTGTAAATACCGACAAATCTGCTGCCTGGGAATACACACATAGTTCGAAGCCGAA